CCCCCCGCCCTCCCTAAACCAGACTGTATCACGGTCCATCTGTCCAGCAAGCCAGTCAAATAAAAAAGGTTCACATAGCGGAGAAGAAAAGAGCCATTAAAAAAAACCCTGGAAGAACCAATTATCCTCCGATCTTTTTTGTTTTTGAAGGCGACACCCCTCCATCCATGTGGGGTCACACACATGTGGACGCACACACACACTCCCAGGGTGCCACGCACAGACCCAAAGTCACTGCCTCCCACACACACACAGAGCGCCCTCCAGTGGGGGCAAGCATCCGCACAGGGCTCAAGCCAGACAGAACCGATCTCAGCTGGGGGGTGGGGGGCTTCTGGAGGGCAAGTGGGGGGTGGCAACCGCATCTGCCCCTTTTGACCAGACCAGGAACGGTGTCAGGGGTGCTGCAAAGGCGGGAGACGGGAGACGCCAGTGGGGGAGGGAGCTGCAGTCTGCCCCACCCGGCACTGTTCCTCCAGGAATGCAACAGGAACGCCCTCCCCCCCAGTTTTCCCACTCCCGTCCTGGGGGGGGGGTGTCTGCATTTCACAACAGATATCCCCGCCCCCCCCTTTAAAACACCAACCCCCTAAATTGTGGTACTTCTCACAGACAACTTCCGCTTTCACACCTATCCTCATTCTTCGGAACAAACTTCACGAACACGCACACGCACGCACAAGCTCCATTCCCAGAGGCACTGGCCAAGCCCCGCTTGGGGCACTCACCCGCAGCACACGGCACTGCGCACGTCCCTGCCCCACCGACTCCCGAGGAGACCCTCGGCCGGTCTCGAGCCTCCACCGCCCCTTCCTTCGAAGCAGCCGGTCACAGGACAGTCTGGGGTGGACCGGCTCTGGCAGGCGAGGCACACAGCCACAGCAAGAGGGAGTTGCTCGCGGGGGCCTGGGGGGGATGGGGCAGGCGGACCCCTCCTCCCTCCTCCTCCTCGCTGTCCCAGGGATCAGGAAACGTGCGCTGGCCGGAAGCCGTGGCCAGCATCGGTAGGCTGGGGTGGAGGCTGAGAAAAGGGGGGGGCGAGGAGAAAGAACAGGGTCAGATGGGAAGGGAAGGCCGTCTTGCCCCCAACCCACGGAGTCCAGCCCCTCAAAAGGCACCCAACCACGCATCGAAGCCTCGGCACTCCTTTCCCCCGTGGCCAAGAGGAGGCCCAGGGCTAGACCGCCTCGCATTTACAGGCGGCCAAAAAGAGGGGTGCAATTTCCACATCAGGAGCGCCAGCCAGCGGTCACCTCGGCCAAAGACCCAAAGGGCTGGAGCTGAACTTGTCCTCTCGCTCAAGGCCGGCCTCCTTCTCATTCAGACAAAAACAGGTTGCTTGCCTGTAACTGGTGATCTTTGAGTGGTCCTCTGTGCAGTCACACCCATGGGATTATGCGCCTGCGCTGATTCGGGTGTGATGCACAGAGATCACGCGGAAGATCCAATGAGTCTCAGTGCCAGGAGGCAACGTCAGGGGAAGGCCTCGGCCTCTGTGCCCTGTTGTTCGCCGTCCAGAGGAACTGGCTGGCCACTGTGTGAGGCAGGATGCTGGACTAGATGGACCTTCCCTGGTCTGATCCAGCAGGACTTTTCTTGGGTTTTTATGAAGGCCTCGGCCTCTCTGCCCTGTTGTTGGCCTTCCAGAGGAACTGGTTGGCCCCTGTGTGAGACAGGAGGCTGGACTACATGGACCTTCCCTGGTCTGATCCAGCAGGGCTCTTCTGGTGTTCTTATCAGGGGAAGGCCTCAGCCTCTCTGCCCTGTTGTTGGCCCTCCAGAGGAACTGGTCGGCCACTGTGTGAGTTACAATTGCTGGACTAGATGGGCCCTCACTGGTCTGATCCAGCAGGACTCTTCTGATGCTTTTATGAAGGCCTCGGCCTCTCTGCCCTGTTCTTGGCCCTCCAGAGGAACCGGTCGGCCACTGTGAGAGACAGGATTGCTGGACTGGCTGGACCCTCACTGGTCTGATCCAGCAGGGCTCTTCTGATGTTCAGGCGCCTTTCCACAAGAGATCCAGTTCCCACCTCAGAGCCCTAACGTGTGAACCCCACAGCGATGCCCGCCAGAATGAGAGGCACCTCCCCCAGGGCTCGTACCTGATGCCGTTGACACAGTCCTGCAGCGCCCGGAACTGGAGGACCGGGGGCAGGACAGGGCGAGGGTCGCTGCTTGGAGGCTGGGAGGTGTCCCAGACGGTGATCAGTCCCTCTGTGTCTCCGCTCAGCAAGTACCTCCCGCTCCTGTGGAGGAAAGAGGAAGGGCTCTCCTGCAAGTCTGTCCCAGGAGAGGAAGTCACAGCCCCTCTGGAGACTGCCCTGGTCAGGCCACATCAGGAGTCCCGTATGCAGTTCTGGAGGCCTCACTTCAGAAAGGATGTGGGCAAAACCGAGAGGGTGCAGAAGAGAACGACGAGGGTGATCAGGGGTCTGGAGGCTGAGCCCTACGAGGAAAGGCTGAGGGCCCTGGGAATGTTCAGTTTGGAGAAGAGGAGACTGAGGGGGGACACGATTGCTCTCTTTGGGTATTCAAAGGGCTGTCATTTGGAGGAGGGCAAGGAGCTGTTCCAGTGGGCAGCAGAGGAGAGGACCCGAAGCAACGGGCTTCAATCACATGCAGAAAGGTATCGGCTGGATATTAGGAAACACTTTTTCACAGTCAGAGTGGTTCAGAGGTGGAATCAGCTGCCCTGGGAGGTGGTGGCGGCTACAAGCATGGACGGCTTCAAAAGGGAATTAGATAAGCATATGGAGCAGAGG